TAGAACAGGTCTATACATTGTCCTTTTATTAAACAAACTAAATAGCCTTATTTATCTTATTTACACAGCAGCTTGTCATTTTTGTCTCTACACGGTCGCGCGCTTACAGTTCTCTGCTCTATGTATCGCACATGGCGGATTTCCGCCGCAATGCGCGTGCACAGACACGTGCACACACACAGGTGAGCACACTCCCACCAGCGGACAGAGAGCGTGCGTCGGAAAACATGTCCCGTCAACCACCTGAAAAGCAGACAAAAATATCAGCATTTTTTAAATGTTCCCAGGGTGATGAATTGTCATAAATTGTCATAAAAAGAAATGTTCTGATGTTTAGTCCAGTTGTTATATTGACTGCTGCCATGAAAAGAAACACATGAACACCATGAATCCTGTCAGTGTCCGTCCGCTCCCCTCCCCCCCCCAAAAGCTGTAAACCTAGGGGAAACACTGCTCATTATCTAATTTTGATTGCTAAAGTGCCTCGTTAATTCACTTTTAATAAATGAAATGAAGGGCAGGTCATTGATTTTTTTGTTACATAACAGTCTGACCATCCTTTAAAATCTAGTTGATACGTGAGTCTAGGATTTTTGAGTCAGCTCGTTTTACCTCCTTATTTTACATGCATGGGATTTATATTTGAAATAGGGAACAACAGTGTTTGAGATTCACGGTATGTCAATTCAATATACCAAACCGCTGAGTTAAAATCAGATTTTCATTTTCATTCTATGTCACCTTTAAAAATTGTGTTACAATGATGGCAAATTATCTTTCGACCAGAGTATGTATTCAGTTTTGTGCAATATGTGATACTTAAGTAAAATGGACATTGAAGCCAAGACAAAAAGCTCAAAGAGTTGCCTCGTATATCATCACCTTAAGAGTAACTGTGAGAATGACAGGGGTATCAATTCAGTGGCTGCAATTTTTTGGCCAATAAGCTAGTCAATGTTGGGGAAGTGGGAACTGAGGTGACAGCTGAGCCTTGTGGTTTACTGGTCAATCTGCATTGCTATTCTCATCTATGGTCATGAGTTGTGGGTTATGATTGAAAGAACAAGGTATGGAATGCAACCAGCCAGACTGAGGTTTCTCCTAAGCATTTTTCTCAGTGGCAGAGTGAGGAGCTTGGCCTAATAATGCTAAAAAATATGCTCTTTGTACAGTTTGTACATACTGTAGATCTTAATTTCCTGCTCATTTACAGAATTAGCAATTATTTAGGTGTTTCCTCAGGCCATCTATCCATCTATATTCTGCAAACATTTATCCAGTTTAGGGTTGTGTAAAGTCTGGAGGTTATCCAAACAGAAGACAGGGCAGAGTACTCCATATTTCTTTATGAAAATGTGGTGTAGAGAAAAGTCAATGAAACAGTGATTGAGCAGATCTGTTGAGGATATAACCAGGCAATTTTATTGACCAGTTTTTGCAGAAGCACATTTCACAAGAATTTCATATTGTATGATTTCTTGCTACTTTGTATCATATTGGTTTTATCCGTCATTCAGCCTCCTTACCCTTGAAAAATGAAAAGGTCAGTTAGAAAACGTATTTAATATTTTTTGTTTAATAATTTTTATAAAATGCTAAAATGCTTCATGTTTTGCTTCTATACATGACATTAAAGGAGTCTGCAATATATTAAAAAAATAATATAAAAAAATATATAAAAATTATATACACTAATATAAAATCGCTGAACCAAAACTATACCTTTCCAGCTTCGCGGCTCTTGGCTCTCAGCTTGTTGACCTGAGACTCAGCGATGTCGGCACGCTCCTGGGCTTCCTCCATCTCATGCTGCACCTTCCTGAACCTGGACAGGTGAGTGTTGGCCTGCTCCTCCTGTGCAGCAGGCAAGGAGCTCATCATTTGAAGTAGGCATTTTGATGAATTGATTACTAGATAATTCACATCTTAGAGATTTTCACCATCATCTGGACTATATTTTTACTTTTTGGGGAAATATTGGAGATTGTAACTGATTCAGGTTAACTTTCCCTTTTAATATAAATATATGGATATAACCTTTTTGTTTTAAGACAGCTTGGATAAGAAAACACTGACACTTGAAACTGAAAGTTGCAGATGAAATAAATCTTCAGTTTACAACGACTTTTGTGGAAATCATATTATGGCTCATCTCTGTAATTAGGAAATTAGCAACGTATATAGAAAATGATACTTACAGCTTCCTCAGCCTGTCTCTTGTAGGACTTCACTTTCAGCTGCAGCTTGTCCACCAGATCCTGCAGTCTGGTCACATTCTTCTTGTCCTCCTCAGTCTGCAGCAAGTATGGATTATTAGATACTAGTGGTCTTTAGTGTACGTTTCTCATATTTACATAAACCTCAATATAAATGTTTATTTAAACAGTTGTAATTATCTACCTGGTAGGTAAGCTCCTTGACCCTCCTTTCATATTTACGGACACCTTTAATAGCTTCGGCTCCTCGTCTTTGTTCAGTTTCAATTTCACCTTCCAGCTCACGTACCTTAAATACAGGAATTCAGCTGTCACACATGGCTGAAATGATGGTTTGAACTTTTGAATCACAAATACAAATATTTTTAATATAGTCTTTTTTAAGTGAATGCATTATGTATTACAGAATGTATAACATAATGTATCTTCATGTGTTCATGAGAAAGGTCACTGTTAAGCATGACAAAGTAAGTGAAAAATGTATGCCTATAATACTGATGAAATATTGACATCTTGGACATATTCAATAATATAAAAAAAAGGTGTTGAGTAAGTTTATTTTGAATATATGGCATTCAGTTATACAGCCATCAGCATATACTTTGATTATGGTTTTTGTGAAAGAATTTGGTGATCACTTGCTTCTTTGATGAGGACATCAGCCAGTTTCAAAAGGATAAAAATGCTTTGCCACATTATGAGTGTGAACACTGAATAAATAGAATTTCAGTTTTAATGAAAAAATGAATCACCCTGGCTTCCAGTTTCTGGAGCTGTTTCTTTCCACCCTTCATGGCCAGGCTCTCAGCCTCATCAAGAC